CAGTATCCCGGAAAAACTCTGCAGTCTTGACGTTCCCTTGGCTGGCACCAGCTCTTCCGGATGTTCTGAAAAACAAAAAGAACATTTTCCGGGGAGGGCAGGGTGGTAGGTTCAAGTCCCGCACCCGGGAAGAGGTGATATAAAGGGCGCCCTGAAACTAAGGCAGGGGAAAGGGTTCCCGGGTGGCCTAGAGGATCGGGAAGGGTGATAGGTTCAAATTCTGCCCACGAGGCGAGGTGGGATACAGGGATATAACGTGCCTGGGGGGCACATTATATCTTATAAACACTCCCCTCCTTTACAAGTACTCTTCACACAACGCATTGTCAACCTGTGGAACTCCTTGCCTGAGGAGGTTGTGAATGCTAGGACTGTAACAGAGTTCACCTTTACAAGTTTTCTTGCTGATTTCTTTATCTGCGCGCTGTTACCCAATAATTAGCTATGTTGCTCTGTAAACCAGCCAAGCCTTCGTAACTGCCTCCCTCTGTGGGTTCCAGGTAAAGGATTCCCACTGCTCACTATTAAATTAACGGGGTAATGTGCCTCAGTTTCCCTTTTATACAGCAGACCAAGTTTTTAATAGCCTAGCTATTGTGAAGCTTTAATTTTTTTTTTTCAGAAAAGCAGAAGCAATTATTCGTCATCCCCTCCATTTATTCACAGTAACAGAGAAGTGTTGCTGCTATCGCAATTTTCCTTGGTGCTAGGTGTTGGCCGGTTATCATTCCCGCAAGCCCAAACGGTTTTCTCTTCCCGAAAGAATAATTTTCAATGTTGCAGGGTTACTCATTAACGCTATGTTTACTCCCACGTTAAACACTAACATTAGCATCACGTTTCTGAACAAGTGGGTGTTTATAAATATCTTGTTATATACCAGGCCTTTTATTTCGACAATTTACTCCTGAGGACAGTGTGTGTTATACCCTCTTGAAATCTTTGAATAGCAGACCGCTTCTATCCCTGTACGGTCACTTAGGATCTGTCTAGGCTACGGGGTTTTTTTCGAAAGAGGATATGCAAATTCCCACGGATCTCGCTTGCGAAAGAGGATCTTTCAAAAGCAAAAGTAGCTGGGATACTTTTCTTCGGGGAGGGTGGAAAACTCCTTTTTCGAAAACACAGCCTTAAAAAAATGAGGTTTACGCGGTTTTTCCGAATTTTTTTTTCTGAAAAAACTGCATCCAAACTACTTTCGCTTGCGAAAGATCCTCTTTCGCAAGCGAGATCCGTGGGAATTTGCATATCCTCTTTCAAAAAAACCCCGTAGTTTAATCACACACACACACACAGACACACACACACAGACACACACACTTACTTTCTGGCTTGCTTTCAGATCCAAAGTTATCAGCAACCCAGAGACCTAGTCTTGAAAACAGACACGGTGAACGTGCAGAGTTCTGATTACTCTTCACTTTCAAGTCCTGCTTCCAAAGCACACAGCAAACACACAACCCCTTGTGGCTTCTTGCTGGAATCCATGTGGTGTGTCTCAGATTTTATGTACCCTCATCAAAGCAAGTACCTTTCCTATCTAATTTCTATCCTATGATCCTTATCTGCTTCTTTTAACTATCCGATCGTTAGGTGCTTATAGATTACCCGTTCTGCTTACTTGTTTTTCCCTTTGATATTGTCATACCTTCTGCTCCTTGTTTCCCGCCTCCTTCCCTCCTCTTCCTTCTCCCCAATTTATTTTGTGTCTGCACGTCCTAAACTCAAAACTCCAGTCATCTGAAGAACTGGGCTGTGCCCACGAAAACTCATGATAACAGCTACAAGTTTTGTTAGTCTATAAAGTGCTACCCGACCATTTGTTGTTTTTTAAGTTTAGCCTGTAGAGACTAACTTGGCTACCCTCTGAAGCTTCCAGTCTGATTTTTGTTATCCAAAAAATAAATCCAGAACCCATCCTCATTTTCTTGGGTTTGGCTGCTCCAAGGACCAGCCACAACCTGGTCTATCACAAGATATTGAACCTTATAAAGCACTGAAGTACGTTAAGGATTAAAAGCTGAATACCAAAAGACAAGCAGCATTAGTTATCTGCCTCTGGGGTGTACCGTCACAAAAAAAAGCACTGTTCGTGAACAATATGGATTCTAAGCTAAATGGGGCCTGGTGGCCTTGGGTATGAGAAATTGCATTGTACTACAGATAACATACCAAGGGCATGATAAAACGTTCAACGAAGTAGAACTAAGAAAGCCAAGGTCAGGGAAGAGGAAGAAGCATAGGAATGTGTCTGGTCAGTTAGACACCAGCGAAAAGGAGGAAGTGGGATCGTGTCCAACTGGTTACAAGGTCTATCAATTGCTATTAGCCAGGCTGGGTAGGAATGGTGTCCCTAGCCTCTGTTTGTCTGGGAGTTGGTGGCAGCGGTGGGATCTCTTGCCAATTCCCTGTTCTGTTCCCTCCCTCTAAGGCATCTGGCATTGGCCACTGCCACCAGACAGGGCACTGGACTGACCCAGTCTGGCCGTTCTGATGAAGCTGAAAACAAGGCTGAGCCAAATCACATGGGGGGGAAGAAATTGATCAGAAAAACGGGCATGGGAGTTATGGACATCCTTCGAGACACGCACGAGAGACAATCGTGAAAGAAGGCCAGATTGGTTAAAAACTCCATCCTGGTTTAGAAGGAAAGGGACAGCAGCTATCCTACAAAAGGTAACAAGCAAAAGAAAGGGGGTGGTCGAAGGTAACAAATATCAATCTGCAGCTAAAGTGGATATGGAAGCAAACAGACACAAAAACATAAGGCCAGCCAGACTGAATCAGACGGTCCGTCTAAGCCCAAGGATGCTGTCTGCCGATGCCCCAGAGGGAGAGAACAGGGAATCATCATGTGATCACAGAGAGATGTCCGGCTAGCAGTGGACCACGTCAGGTCCAAAAAAGAACCCTTTACTTTCGTCTCTTGTACAGAACGAGAAGGAACTAGCCAAATTAATGATCAATAATAACAATGCCAGAACGGCCAGGCCAGGTGAGACCAAAGGTCCATCTAGCCCAGTATCCTGTCTGCTGACAGAGGCCAGTACCAGGTGCCCCAGAGGGAAGGATCGCAACAGGGAATCCACACTTGATCCCTCCCGTCACCCACCGACAGACAGACGCTAGGGACACCCTTCCTACCCATCCTGGTGAATAGTCATTGATGGACCTAACCTCCATGAACGTATCTAGCTCTTATTTGAACCCCTCTTCAAGTCCTAGCCTTCACCACATCCTCCGGCGAGGAGTTCCACAGGTTGACTGTGCGCTGAAGGTACGTCTAGACTATAAGCCTCTTTCGAAAGAGGCGATTTCAAAATACGACCGCTCCCCGAGTTACGACCACCTCCACTTACGACCGCCCGCACTTACGACCAAAGTGGTTGTAAATGCAGATCCGAGTTACAAACACTTCGAGTTACGGACCACGTGTTGGCCCGTAACTTGTTCGTAACTTGGGGTGCGGCTGTAATCTTTCCAAAAAGCCTTTTTCAAAAGAGAGTATCTAGACAGCAACCAGTATTTGAGAGAGAGAGAGAGACGCTTTTTCGAAAGATCACTCAGGCAGTCGGGATGCTCTCTTTCGAAAAAGCCCCGTTTGTGGTCAAGAATGACTTTTTTTGAAAGAGCACTTTCGAAAAAAGGCGTTCTTCCTCGAAAACCTCCTTTACCACGGTCGAAAAAACGGCTGTGTTCTTTTGATTTCGAAAGACCGCAGCAGCAGTCTAGAGGCAGGTCAAGTTTTTAAAAAAGAAAGGCTACTTTTTTCGAAAAAACCCTGCGATCTAGACACACCCTGAATCAATAATAATAGTACGGAAGTGTCCAGTAAATATTCTGCCCTGTATTTGGGAAGACCAGAAGCTGGGGTCGTGTCAGACAATAACACTTCTTCCATCCCGCTCCTATCCCGGAAGACGACTAGACAGCTAGTTTTCAATCATCAAGTCGAGTTCACTTCTATTCAACAGACGGGTGGGCAAGAATTTGTAAGGGGGAGAGCGATTCCAAGAATTTGGCTGCGCTCTTCCATGATATTAATGGACGAGGACTCGGTCTTCTCCCGGCCAGCACTGAACATCTGTAAGTTCAATTAGCACGGTCCAGAGATTACCCTGCTGTGCTTACGTGAGTTTCTTTCTACAGGGCA